CATATCATAGAGAGGGCTGTTAAAGAGAGAAAATAAAAAATTAACGCCAAATGCCGCTCTGAAGATATCAGTTTTTATTAAATATTAAATATCTTTTCTGATATGTTATCTCCCAACTTTCTCTATCAGGTATACGAAGGCAGAATCTTTTTCACAGAATAGATTTTTTAAAAATTATTTAAATATTAAGATGTTAATGCCCAGGCCCTTGTGTTAATCTGCCCCTATTAAAAAAACTGATTACATTGCATTTCATTAGCTAAAGTAACCCAAGAGGGTAGATTTCCTTTGGAAACTATTCCTTCCTTCTAGGAGTTAAGTTTTACACTTTAACTGGAGACTGGAAGTGGAGAGGAGTCTTAACAATGAAAGACAAAATAGCTCAGAAGAAGCAGTCACCACAAAGCTGTAGAGAGAACACTGGCTCCTAGATTATTAATTAGCTTTTGGCTGTATAAGCTAAAAACCATCCATATACCCCCTATAACAGGAGAAAATCACACAACAGGTCAGATTAACTCTACTGTCATTCTTACTAGGCTCATCATCAACCCCAAACTGCCCAGTAATTCTACATTTCTCTCATCAGCTCACTCTTCCCCTCTTCCAACAATTTCACAAAATTCTAACCTAGCCACATCAAGCTCCCTCCTACCCTGGCCTTTACAATGATGTTCAATCTGCCTCAAGCAACTAACCCCTTCTAATCAATCCTTTAATTCTCCTTCAGCTCTCAGTTCAAATTTTACCTCTTCAAGGAACCTTTCCTTTACCCCTAACATTCTAAATTCCACGAACTCCATTTCATGTACCTCTTTTCTCTACAGCACTTACCATAGTGTAGTTTTACCATGTACTGGTATGATAATTTTATTAAGATGGAGGAAGAGCATCTACTGTTTCACTACAGTGTAAGCTCCATAAAATCGAAGCCTGTCTATGTTGTTCACTATTGTATTCTCAGTGCCTCATAGGCTATCTAACATATACTGCCCTTAAATATTTGTTGACTAAGGGAATAAATAGCCATTAATAACCTATGGAGATTAAGTGGCTAGGTATAAGCACTCAAAAAGATATACAAATCCTCACTCTTTTTACCTTGGATCTTTCACGGAGAAGCTCTGACGTCCTAGTAGTTCTCCCAAAAGATCGCCACCACAATATACCATATGCTGCTCCTGCTGATCATAAAGCTGCTTCACCATTATATACTGGCCTAGATAGTGCATGACCTGCATCACAATAAAAAAACAATGCAGTCTGTCCAGCTGCTGCCAAAAACACAAATTAATTACAAGGAAATCTGGTAAGGTGGTTTGTTAGAGAAAAAGATATTTACAAGAATGTCAGTGCAAAGGGTCCTACAACAGGATACTTGCTCCCAACTATTAGGTTTATTCACTCATTATCTTTCTGGTCATTAACAGACCCAGACTTTTTAGCACAGAAATGTACTGATCTGACAATGAGAAAAAGTGGTAAATTTATCTAGTATCCCCTTAAAAATTTTCTCACCAGTCCAAATAAAGCAGTCTGTTCTATTACTAGAAGTAATAAACTTTAAATTTGCCTGGTCCATAAAAATATTTTCCAAGTCCATGGGCACATAACAACTCTAGGCTTTTGATGTATGTTCACTTAATTCTTTTGACAAATGAAGTACAATGTTTAATAAGTCATCAGCACTGTAAGTTCACAAAACACAGAATCTAAGTGTTTATCAAATAAAAATTTAGTCTATCTTGCTTTTTTTTTCAGAGTTGACAAAATGGAAGGGAACACAGACAAGTTCACAATTCAAACCTTAATAATTATCTAATGTGTAGATGAAGCATTTCATATAACCTTTATTATATCATCTAATTTGACACATTTTGCCAATGGACTTGGCTGAATTTTATGATAAACAAAAAAACAAGTAAGGGGCTGGCAGGTCAGTTCACTTGGGAGAGCATGGTACTAATAACACCAAGGTCAAGGGTTCAGATTCCCATACCAGCTAGCCACCAAAAACAAACAAACAAACAAAAAAAAACCAAATTAAATTTATTGAAAAAAAATATTCTCTACAGGTAGGATATTTTTAAACTTTTACTCAATAATTAAGTTCGCTTAATGATTTAAGAATTTTGCTGTCAACTGATAACAAGCAGACCAAAGCAGCTATCTTTATCTTTAGTCCCCAATTTCTCAGGAATTACTGGATATCTTCATAGATTTTTCCAACTGTTCCCATTATATTGAGCCAATGATGTTCCTAGTGTTCCCTTCGCTGCTGCCCGACATGTCCCAGTATTAATGGATTAGCTGAGTTCTCACATCAACTAGTGAGTAACCTAGGGGGGGAAAATGAGCAAAAGCATCCACTGGAAGAAATGGGAAGACATTCTCTACGTCCATCCAACTTTAAGAAAAATAAAGCCACTCTAAGTATATAAAGTAGGTTCTTCTAAAACACTACTCTAAATTTGTATATAACACTATTCTTCTCATTATATCACACTACCTCAATGCACGCACTGAGAACCAAGATTTAAAAATAAAAATCAGGAAGTTCTTCATGTACTAGGTAGGGTCAAGGTTCATAATAGAAAGCTTATCATGTAAACTTGGGCAACTCTAATTCATTCTAACAACTTTAATGATATAAAAATCCAGACTTTAATAACAGTTTGAAAAAAAGTCATATGTATCAGAATTTTAGAAATACAGTCCAAAATGATGTACTTAATTTAAAATGATAAAGGAAATAAAGCATTCTAGAAAAATCTAAAATGTCTCCTGATTTGTTTCCTTGAGAGATTTAATGGCTCAGGAGTGTGGCAGTGCTGATAGGTGTTAAGCTTGTAAGAAAAGCCAAAAAAAAAATCAATAATTTTATTTCCTGTTTAAGAAGGGTTAAATATCTACCCTACTATA